TTAAGAAAATATTTCTATTCTTAAAAAACTCCATTTTCAAATCATTCCAGCTCACGTAAATATTAGCCCTGTTCGCGTACGCACTATCCAGTAAATCCAGTACTATTTTTACTGGTTTTTTACTGGATGTAGTTTTCGTACGCAAAAACTTGCAAGAAACTAGCAAAAGAGGGGAAATTGAGAGAGCAAAAATGACAGCTGAACTTGCAAGTTTTACTGGATTTTTACCGGATAAATTTTTACTAGCAACCATCACCGGGAGGGTAGACTACGAATTTAAACTTCGCTTTTTTAATATTTTGGTATTTTAAATTTTTTGTTTTTGTTTTTATATTTATAGTTTTTTACTAATTACGATTGTAAACTTAAATGTTTTATTTTTTTTTATTTAACATTTTTTTATTACGAATTACGAACTTATACTTAGCTTCTTTTTGTAGTTTTCTTTACTTTTGTTTTTGTTTTTATTATAAATTTTTGTTTTTTTACCAATTACAAATTCAGGCTTCATTTTTTTATTTTTCTTTGTATTTTCCATTTTTTTATTTATTTTTATTTTTTACCAATTACGAATTTAGATTTCGCTTTTATATTTCATTTGTTTTTGTTTTTCGTTACTTATTTTTTATTTTTAAGTATTTTTTAATTTCATTATATTAAGGTGGTTGAATGCTTATATCAGAAAAAAAACTCTTTCAAATTTCAGTTTTAAGATAAAATATATATTTATAGTATGGATGAATCGTGATTTATTTTCATCATCCCAGAACTTATCTCAGCGACTCGGACAACCAAAAACTTCAAATTAATTATCTATAGGTAGTGGTAGACACATATGAAGGGAACGAAAACCTCTCACGCGGTTACAGCGGCAGCGGTAAAATAAAAAATAATAAAAATGTGCCAAACTGGCAAATTTATCTTAATGCACATTTAATGCAGAATATATTTAATTTTTTAGTTTTGTGTTGTGAGATGGTACACAGGAGTATTACTAAACGACAACGAGCACAACTCATAAAAATCAACGCCTGACTCAATAAAAGATGTGGAATTGTTTTTTGTTTTAAGCAAAGGCTATTTCGAACTATGTTTTTCTATTTTTTTATATTATTGCATCTTATTAATAAGAAGCAAAAGACAAAAGGAATATATTTACTATTTTCTGGAATGAAAAATTTAATTGTACTATACACTGGACTTATAAATTCCAAACACAACTATTTTAATCTAAATGAAATTGTGACCACAATATCGAGGCAATTGCTATAATAGGTTCGTTCCACAAGCTACTCGAAGTCACTTCGAGTTACACATATGCGTTTCACAAGTAAGTGTTAGAGTTTATTTGATATACGCTGATATTTGATTGCTCGACTTTTTCTA